TGGGTGACACCCAACACCTTCGCAAGGTTCTATAATCTGCGAATTGAGCCGGTGTCCTCTCACGTACTCGCTTCCACCAGTACTGGACCCGCTTAGGTGTCTTCGCTTGCTCGCCACTCTTTGGTCTGGATAAGTGCGATATTCCCTCAGTGTCTTCCATTGAAGCCTTGAGTCCTCCAGCACCGATGATGCGGGCACCACTCTGGTTACTCTGGTTGCTGGCTAGGTGCCTCCATGTGCACGGTTCCCTATGGTAACTGTCTCATGTGTATTATCCACTGTAAGTCTCTATGAGCATGTGTCTTCCCTTGGCAAGCCATCTGCCACCCCTGGAGTTAAATTCTAGTAGCCACCTGCGGTTGGTGCTCCAGTGATCTCCATATGCGTCCTATTCGGCCATATGTGTATTTGTAAGTCGTCCTTCGGTAGGCATCTGGTAGCATGTCCCTCCCGGGATATGTTTCCCAGTGTACCTTGGTAATCCTGTGTCAAAGTGGGATCCCTGTAAAAAAAAGGGTAAGTGTAACAAAGTTCAGGGAAGAAGGAGGCAGGAACCGGATAATAATAATAAAATAAAACTTTATTTAAATAAAATAAACAAACAAATTACCTGCCAGCAGCCCCTCGCGGACGACTGCTGGCTACCCAAAATAAAACATAAATACCGGCCAGCAGCCCCTCACGGACGACTGCTGGCTTACCAAATAAAATATAAAATACAAATAAAAGCAGGCCTGTTCCTCTCTCGATCATCCACTCCGTCGCTCCCCCTTTATGGCTCCGCTCCTTCGTGAGAGATGCGAGACCGGTGTGCTTCGCAGGTGCTGCTCATTAGCAAACGCAACACCGGCCTCGCGACTTTCTCTCACGTCCCTCGGCCGTCCTGCTCACCACATACCCCCATCACCCCTCACAGGCCGGGGGGTACACCCGAGACTGTGCCTACTTCCCCCCCGGCGGCGGCGATCCCTGGGGGGTATGGATCGACGAGCCGAGGGAAACGGAGACGGAAGCCTGAGGAGCGACGGACACGAGAGAGGGGAGAGAGGGAAAAAAAAATAGTCCGGCTCCCACAACGCGCTGCCATCTTCCCTCACCAGCTGGGCGATCTCCTCCGCGGTGCCCGGCGGCGACGCTGGATGGCCCTCGGTGAACGCCTCGACGCTCCCCCGCCCCCGGTGGACGGCGACGGCTCCTCGGGTGCCTTGGGCAGACGGCAGGAGTCCCCCGCTCCCTGCTCCTCCCCTTCACTGGCGGATGGCAGCAGGCTCCAGCCCACGGCAAGCGGCGGTGACTCCTCCTCTCCCTCCCGAACGGCAGCCGCCCCTCCATTTTCCAGGCGGTCGGCGGCGAGCTCGGGCGTCCCACCGGCAACTCATCCCAGCGCCCCGCCTCGAGCGTCCATGGCCGCGAGTCCCCCGCTCCCTGCTCCTCCCCTTCTGCGGCGGACGGCAGCAGGCTCCGGCCCACGGCGAGCGGCGGCGACTCGCGCACCATGCTCGATGGCAACGCGGATTCCCCACAGCGGCGAGGACCCTCGGACAGCGCGTTCCTCCCTCTTCCCGGGTTTCGGCACCAGTGTAACAAAGTTCAGGGAAGAAGGAGGCAGGAACTGGATAATAATAATAAAATAAAACTTTATTTAAATAAAATAAACAAACAAATTACCTGCCAGCAGCCCCTCGCGGACGACTGCTGGCTACCCAAAATAAAACATAAATACCGGCCAGCAGCCCCTCACGGACGACTGCTGGCTTACCAAATAAAATATAAAATACAAATAAAACTAGGCCTGTTCCTCTCTCGATCATCCACTCCGTCGCTCCCCCTTTATGGCTCCGCTCCTTCGTGAGAGATGCGAGACCGGTGTGCTTCACAGGTGCTGCTCATTAGCAAACGCAACACCGGCCTCGCGACTTTCTCTCACGTCCCTCGGCCGTCCTGCTCACCACAGTAAGGTTCAGGGGTCCAGACTTTCGCAGGGCACTGGAAGACCGCTTGAAGATGGCGTGATGGCACTGACCCCCATTCTCCGTCACTTCTGACGTAACTCGAAGTGACTACGAAAGGGAACGTCTCGGTTACGAATGTAACCCTCGTTACCTGAGTAGGGAACGGAGACGTTACGTCTCCCTGCCACTTCTGCTGTACCGCTGGGTAGACGCCTAGTTCAGTCTTGGCTCCTCAGCGAAGACATACTGCGGTTGCGTTCACTTCCTCCTTTTATACTCACGGAGTAGGGCGGAGTACGCTATGCAAATTTCCGCAGCCCCAAGGCATTGCATGCCATTGGCTCGTTGTTAAATACTCGAAGAGGATTGGCTTTCATGCGAAACCCCCATTCTCCGTCACTTCTGACGTAACGCCTCCGTTCCCTACTCAGGGAACGAGGGTTACATCCGTAACCGAGACGTTTTCGGTTACAGAACAGCTGAAATGAGTTAGTTTAATCAACTCTGAGTTGACTGACTCTGAGTTAAGCGCGTGCACCACAGCTATAAAAAGCCATTATCAATGGAGCGCAGATATTATGAGTCACCATGGCAACAGCGCCAGACAAAAAGAGGTGTTGGGTATAATTAATTACCAAGTAATCTAAATATTGTAATTTAATTAAAGGGATTACTCTTAATTCTTCTTTAATTTAAAATAAAATATGATGCAATTACATTAAATAGGCTACTGCATAAACTATAGACCAATTCAGTATAAAACAATAGTGGATTTAGCATACATTTTTAAAAGGTATATATAACCTTCTCCCTCTACACACTTTGATCAATTCAAGAATAATTCATGCAATTGTATTGTTAATTTGAAAGCATTAAAAGTGCAGTTTCTTGTCTCTCCTCCTTGTATTAATCAAGTGGTTGAGGTTGATATAGGATTTAGAAATATGTAGACCAATACTTTCTAGAGATAGTAATTATTACATTAATCTAACTACACCGTTGAAGATGTCATTTGTTGTTAATAAATCATAACTATTTTAGAGTAACTGTTATAATATCAGAGGTGAAACTGGAAGAATGTTATTCAACCTAAAGTAGTCTACTATTACTTTGATACATTTTTACTTAAGTAAAAGTAAAAATACCAGTCTAAAAAATCTACTCAAGTAAAAAGTAGTTAATTTAAAACACGAGTAAAAGTTGCTGAGTAACTTGTTTAACAGCGGGGGTGGGGTGGGGGACTCCCCCAAGTGGGGTTGTAACGTATGAGAGTTTCACAGTATGAGAACCGTCTCAGAAAATATCACGGTTTATGGTATTAAACAATTGTTAAATATATAAACTGCATTATTAAATTACGGTTATTATTTTCATCAGTTAAAATGATAGTTAAATAAATTAAACATTTGTTCAATAAAACATAATATCAACTAACTTCAATAATTGATTATGATTATGATTGACATCTTATTTTTTATCATTAATAACTTATAAAATTTAATTTTTTTTTTTAATGATTTAATAGAAATATATTATCCAAAACAGTGGTAATCAAATAAAAGTTTAGCAAATGTTTTAATCCTTTTATTTTTTGGCAAAGTGCTGCAAAACAGATTTAGTCAATTAAACCATGGACAAACTATATACAGTATATATTCCTTAAAGAATGTGTAAATACATTTTAGTATTATTGTTGGTGTTTAAACAGCACTTCCTCTTTAAAAAAGGGGAGGAGAACACAAGAAACTCTGGGTTTACTGAAGAAAACCTGCTCCCGACCAGGTTAGGTTCACAGAGTAAGTTACCATGGTAACTGACTCTGAGTATAAGTTACCTCTCTTTCAGAAACGGGCTTGACTTACTCTGCTTTCTCGGGTTTGATATACCCCCCTTTCTGAAACGGAAAACCCAGAGTTTCATGTGTTTTTTGAAAAACTTACAGTTTAAACATCTTAATCATTATTTTCAAAAAGGAAAGAAAAGAAAAACGTGTTTTTAAGGGGGAAAGTATTTTTTACAAACATCAGGAATAATAATTAAATGCCTTGTGATGAAGTTAAAATTATCTGATATTTTAGAAACATGAGTTTAAATCATGGACAAGGTTTTTTTTATATATATATAATACTGTTAATCAGTGGATACGTTTTTTTTTTTTAACATTTTGTAATAAATTAACAGATCTTCATAAAAATGAGTATCATGATTCAAATGCTTTGAAAAGAATATAAATGTTAATTTACCTCTCTGTCAGGTGGAAAGTCTTTCGACACAAGATTTGCGCTAGTGCATTACATTGATGTACTTTCGCGCTACAATAATGCGTTCTCGACATTTGACAGGAAAATAACGCCATACGCTATGTAGTAGTTTGTACATTGAGGGCTACTGTAGAAATATGTCAGTGCAAAATGGCTATTTCAATGTGAGGAGACCCGCGATGTATGTAGACAGAAAAAGCTAATTCTAAGTTAATAACAACATAACTGTTCATTATGTAAGGTCTTCATAAACCACTGTAAACATAGTTATGTATATGATATTGCATTTCTGTCCACAGATCCTCCTAAATATTACACAATGCACCTTAATGATGCAGTTTAATCATGATGCTTGTAATAATAATAATAATATATATATATATATATATAGTTGTAATAATAATATGTATAATGCTTATAACATGGGCTTGTCAGTGACATGTAAGAGTGCCCGCAATTTAAAAAAAAAAAAAGAAGAGAAAAAAGTTTGTAAACATGTTTTTAAGGGGAAAAGTTTTTTTTTTTTTTTTTTTTTTTACAAACATCAGGAATAATAATCAAATGCCTTGTGATAAACTTAAAAAAATTATCTGATATTTTAGGAACCTTGAGTTAAATCATGGACAAGGTTTTATATATATATATATATATATATATATATATATATATATAATATTGTTAATCAGTGGAGAACTTTTTTTTATATTTTGTAATAAATTAAACAGATCTGCATAAAAATGAGTATCATGACTCAAATGCTTTGAAAAGAAAAGAAATGTTAATTTACCTCTCTGTCAGGTGGAAAGTCTTTTCGACACAAGTGGGCAATGATTCCAGCTGCCAGAGCATCTCCTAGTACGTTGATCATTGTTCGAAAGCGATCTCTTTAAACCAGAAGGGGTGGAAGACTTTATTGATTCCATCATCATTATTTTTGCCTCATGCATTGTGTTTTAATAAAAAAAATAATATTTACTCCACTCTGTATAAATATTTACTTTTATTAATATTTACTTTTATAATACACTCTTAGAAGAAAAAAAAGGTTCTAAAGCACAATGTATTTGGAACCCCTAAAATGCAATGCTCACAAATGATCACAAAATTCAAGATATGGGGGTTAAAAATGTAATTAATCAACATCACACGAAGAGTGCAGTTTTCAAGCAAGTTTTTTCAGCAATTTCAGTTTTTCTCCTCCAAAAATCAGCATGATTAAAATGGGATATTAAGTTACTACAACAGTTTAATAAACAATAATTTAATTACAACTACAAAATGTTGCAGAATAATGTAATATATGAATGAATAATAGCCTATAATAAACCTTTGTGCCAAAAGGGTTCTTTCTTGTCATTATCATCATTTTTTTAAATAAAAGGTCCTTTGCAGTTGAGTAAAGAACCCTATGCTACATATATAGAACCCTTCTTTCTAAGAGTGTAGTTCCTATTTACATTTAAAGGTACAATATGCAAGATTGTTTCGCCACAAGGGGTCGCTAACCTCTTACAATAACAAAGCCGTATATTAAAGGGTTAGTTCACCCAACAATGAAAATTCTGTCAGTATTTACTCACCCTCATGTTGTTCCAACCCCGTAAGACCTTCGTTCATCTTCGGAACACAAATTAAGATATTTAAGATATTAAGATCACTCCTGCATACTAGTCCATAGGCTTCTTGAGGGAATGACTTGCTGTCCTCGAAAAGTCATTCAAGACATCGTTAAAATAGTCCAAGTGACTACAGGGGCTCAATCTTAAGTTTATCAAACGACGAGAACACTTTTGTGTGCAAAAAAACAACAAAAATAATGACTTTATTTCAACTATTCATTTATTTCTCCCTCTGCGCGAGTCAGGATACTAGTTTAATAGCGTAAGCTTCTGTTATTGAACGTCACACGCATCACACACGACCAGCATCGGCCAATAGTGAGCCTACGTGTGACGTAGCTTTACGCAATGACACTACGTTAACTGACTACAGGCCCATGGAGAAGGAAGTGAATAGTTGAAATAAAGTCGTTATTTTTGTTTGTTTTTGCGCACAAAAAGTATTCTCGTCGTTTGATAAAGTTAAAATTGAGCCCCTGTAGTCACTTGGACTATTTTAACGATGTCTTTAATGACTTTTAGATGCCAGCAAGAGTCATTCCCTCAAGAAGCCTATGGACTAGTATGCAGGAGAGATCTTAATATCTTATATATCTTAATTTGTGTTCCGAAGATGAACGAAGGTCTTACAGGGTTGGAACAACATGAGGGTGAGTAAATACTGACAGAATTTTCATTTTTGGGTGAACTAACCCTTTAATGACATATATTCCGCATTAAGCGTAATTATGGATCTTGTCATCATTGCGATTCCTTCTATATATTAAGTTGCTCAAGCAAGTGGTCAAATATTTATTATATTTAACCATGTATTTATATTAAAATCGCAAACATTTTTAAATTAAAACTTAAAACTGACAAAAAAGCTGACTTTTCGTGCCTTTTCTTTTGCATTTAAAATTTAATACAAAAAATCTTGCATGTCACAAAGAACTTGTTTTTCTACCTCCACAAATGAGACGAGTGTCGTTCATTATGTCCTTGTTGAGGTAAATTGTAGTTTTCCTTCCTTGAAACCCCAGTCTTAGATTAAAAAGATGAAAAGTAGTATTTAATTAAATGCATTTATGGTGAGATTACTACATTTTATTGAATTAAATGTATTTATGGTGAAACTACTACATTTCCAGGTCAATCTGTGTTCATTTTGACCACAAACCTTGCGCTGTCACTTTATTTCTGCGTGTGCAGCACAGCAAAAATAGACTCATTGCGGAAACGATCTCTGCACTGCTGTATACGCACCGCAACTGGAACGGATCGACGGACTGCATCCGCGTGCAGTGTGAAAGCTCTAACCTGGACCATGGCAAGCAGACTTTGAGACAAAAAGAGGACTAACGCCCGTTTCACACATACTCCGTTTGCAGTGTGTATGCGGTCCGTATTTTTTTCCGTACCCATTTAACATCCATAATGTTTGAACAAAACCCTGCTAGGGGCATAATGGGCATGACCAACCCAGTTGTCCACGTTTGTCGCCATGGTTACTATTGCAGTACGAGGTCAAACCTGGCGGAAACCAGGGTAACGCGGATATGACGTCATTGACTGGCGACTCCTCACCCCTGCTCACACGCCCCGTTTCCTTGGTTAAAAATCACAATTTTCTCACAATTTACAAATAGTTGGAAACATTTTGTCACATGCCTGTCCTGTCTTGTGTTGCACATGGGTGTTTGTCATAATGTGCCATGTGCTGTTGTGATTGTTGATCCCTCCCCCTCGTTACCTGATTAGTGTTTGAGTTGTTCCACCTGTCCCCTCTTGATTTGTTCCCTTTTTAAGTCTCCTCTTCTATGCAGTCTTTGTCGGTTCGTTGTCATACGTCATCCCAGTTCCTTGTTGATGTTCTTATGGTCAGAGTCTATGTTGGTTTCATGTTCATTTATTGTGTTTTCCCCCTTGTGGGTTTTTGATTTGTGTTTGTTTTGTTTTTGTTAATAAATCCTCCTTGTTTTTGCACTTGAGTTCTCTTCCCATTTTTGTAAGTGTTCCGTGACACATTTGGGACATTGTAAGTAATCAACTAATCAAAATATATAACATTGGCCTAGTGGTTTTCGGATATTTTACTGCAAAAATCCTGCATATTGTACCTTTAATTTACATACTTATAATCCATTGAATTATAATCATGACACTGATTACTGCTTTTTTTTTCCAACAGATAAATGTCAGTCATCTCAACTTACAAGATCCAATCAATGGCCACAATCAGTGTGATGTCATCTGGTGGCAATCCAACAGATGTCAACACTATCACCATGGTTACAAGGCCTGCCTGAGGGATTCCAGCAGCACCTATACTGGCAGCGGTCGCCGTTATACTGGAGAAAATCAGAATAGGATGATTATTATGATTTAACTCTGATTCCTGATAGAACTGATCACATCAGATGAATCTGTCTAGTTTCCAATAACTAAGTTTGCACAAAACCAATATTTTGTGGTCGATAAAAATAGGATTTGAAATAGTTGATTCTTAAGTTTTAATTTTGTTTTCCCAATGCTGACTATATTTAGTTATCTCTGCCGGTCTGCAAGTACCTGATGGTGACAAGCTGTCCGAAATCCAGTTCATACTCATTGACCTGAGCAATGAAAATAGCAGCAACTGCTTCATAAAGCGCTGTTCCATCCATGTTAATAGTGGCTCCCACTGGCAGCACAAACCGGGCAATCTGCCTGTCCACTCGGCAGTTCTCTAGCAAACATTTCATTGTAATGGGCAGCGTTGCTGAGCTTTGAAAAAGAACAAGATGCCTCACTCTTACAATGCCTACTTCATTTAATTGAGTTGGGACAAGTTATTTACACGTTTTTTTGAGGAATTCATCTTACCTGGATGACGTGGCTAGGGCAATGACCATGGCTTGCAGAAGTCCTCTAATGTATGTGAAAGGATTTTTACGTGTCAAAATAAAATAGAAGAATGGAAGCAAGATGAGGCCGTGTACAAACAGGCCTGCCAGGACCGTCACCCCATACCAGCCCAGTTTCTTCCCAAGTGTGGAGGGATCGCTCATGTCCAGGATTTTGCCAGCCACAAGGAAGATAATACCAAAAGGAAAATACCTGTTGAAAAATGCAGGGAAGAAGTTAAACAGTCTGGTAGGAATTAGTCGAATGATTCTCAAGAATGTTATTCTTTAAATGCCCATCATGTTGACTTTGAAAACACCAATCCCAAACTTCTGTACTGTGATATTTTAAGTAAAACAGGGTAATCAATTTAAAAATGTAGGAGGGTACTTTTTTGTCCATTAAAAATCTTTTATTTTTTAAATTTACAGATGATTTTTTTTTGATCTTTTAAAAATGATATATGCACTGATTCGTTCACATTAAAATGTAAATGTATTAAGGAAAGAAATAGGGTCGATTTTGTTGACATTTCCCTGCCATGCATGTGCTGATGGCATTGTTAGCCCTACACTACCCCAGCTGAATGGAGAATGTGTGACAGGCTCTTAAGTTCAGGTGATCCATAATCCCTGCATGTGCCAAATGACAGCATCGCTTTAACACACCTTCATGCTTGCAGTCGTTATGCACATGCCAGCTCAGCTGCATGCTGGAAACTTCCTCTCAGATTCTCAGCTTATTGAATCTCAGCCCTCAAGCAACGTATTCGGTAAAAACGTTTGTATTTTTAATTTGAATAAAAAATACATTTTTAATTTTGAAGGGGTCATGAACTGTTTTAATGTTTTATTGTTTTATAATTTTTCCTGGGGTGCACTTATAATTTTAGTATAATCTCTACATAAATTATTTTCATAATTTAGAATTTAAAAGGCATTATTGCTACCCTGATTTTATTAATTTGAACGCTCTGTTTTAAGGCAGTGTAAATGCCTACTGCTGTAATTGGCTAAAAGAATTCAGCCACTGATAAACCAGCGATTGTAGAGGGAGCGTTCTTTGATCACTTTCAACATATAATTAATAACAGTTTACATAAACAGATTATTTTCATCCTACTAAGAGAAACAATGTGAAGTTGATTTAGTCACTGGTTTAATTTACTGACACATAGACAAGACCATCTGACTGTACACAAATCATATAAAAAATCACTGGTCATAGATCAGGCATTAGAATTAGCACGGTTACTTGCATGTTGTGGCATTACTGTCGAGTCCATTTCGTAAAAGTCTGTTTGCAAAGCCTGTGCCGAAATTGCGACTGATTTACCAAAGAATCCACAGTAAAATGTACCGAATACAAATAAATAATGCTCAACTGAGACATTCAAATTGTTAAAAATAAATAACTACATTCCTAGCTTTAGGATCTTTTGGAAGGAAGTGTTATTTTTAGTCCTATATCACCCCCTTTAGTCCTCTATCTATAAAAGGCACATTCCACAAAGAGTCGTTCGCTGGGCTGAAACTTTCCGTTCTGAAACTTACAGGATTTACTTATAGTATGATGACATTTTATATGTCAAAAGCTTAAAAGAAATTTTATTTCTCAAAGGCTCAAAGAAATCTGACCCCTTTAACAACAGTTTTGTATGGAATTACAAAACTATAAAGTGAACCTTTAAAAAAATGCTGCTTTCTTTCTTACCATACAGCAGCATTAATGATCTTCATCACACATTCATTGATGCACTGGCAAACATTCACCAGAGGAGCTCCCCGTTCGCCCATTTTACCAAGTAAGAGACCTAAAGGAAAAGCCCTTTGTTATATTTATGCTTTTAATCATGATGTTACTAAATGAAGATACTTTAATAGGTGAAGGCAAATGTTTTACCCATTGTGGCTGAAAAATAACAATGCCGAGTACATTCATCTGCTGACTGCTGCCTGGACGGGTCTTATACTGGATGTCTGGAGCGGGGGTAAGTTCCAACAGCACCGTTCGACCCTTTTGATTGTCGTCATCTGGCATCAAGTAAACAAAATTTGGGCGTCCAGTATTCACTGGTGTTTTTAAGATGGGAATAAGGTCTGTCTTATACTGAAACAACAAAAATAGGTTTTGCATTTTCATAAGAAAATGTGAGTATGTTCATTGTTCAATCCTTGGTATAACAATTTTGTCAATATTCTAGGTGATATATAATGTAGCCACCTTGCAAAATGGTTGCTAGGGAGTTGCTAGGCAATTGCATACTGGCTCAAGTAAGTAAAGTAAAAAAACAAAACAATTTGCCACATGATTTGAGGTCAAAGGCTGTATATATACCAAAACAGTTCACTCATATTACTATGAATGAGAGAAAGTGGTATGCAATTCGGTAGAAAATGTCCCGCGTTTTAATAAATCCAGTCATTAGTTTGTAAAGCAATCGCATCACTGCAGCTGAATCTCTGGTTAGGACTAGGAACTTAGGACTAGGCTGAATCTCTGGTTAGGACTGCACAGGCGCCTTGGCTGGATTTCAAAACCTTGTATGAACGCTTTAAAGGGACAATGTGTAGGAATTTCTCCCATCTAGTGGTGAAAATGTATTTTGCATTCAAATGAATTGTGCTCTCCATCGCCTAGCTTTTTCAAATGCGCATTGCATCTACAGTAGGCATTATGTACCAAGCTATGACAGTATGTCTTCTAATAGCACTTCGTCGAGTGTTCCTTCGGGTGAACAGGTTTGTCATTTCAAACAAACAGCAACTTGACACAACAAACAAACAAATGTTACAGTATGAATTACTGACTGTGAAATACATGAACTATTGTAATACGTAGTTATTCCTTCTTTATTCGTTATATTTTCTGAAGTATATGCATTGTTAGATATCATCAACTTTTACCTATAAATGTTCATCTGTCTATAAAATAAAGTACACACCCAAAAAGAAAAAAAACTATAATTAAGCAACATAATTAAGTAACTTTGACTTACCTGTCGAGAAGAAAGCAACTTCAGTGTCTCTTTTGAAATCTTTCTCCTGTATTAGCTCTATCCACCTGGAAAAACCTATCCCGACATTAACTTGTGTTTTTTTGTAATCTCTGGTCACGTTTCCTTTTACGATCTATTTTGGACTTTTCTGGCAACGAGGATTTGCAATGCAGGCTTTTAAACTTGCTGGGGCAGTGACAAGCGCCTCTCACTGCTCTGCACCTCAGTTTCTGCTGCTTTCAGTTACATCATGCTGGCTCTGAACGAAAACGTGCTCTGCAAAAATAGTTTTTCAAGATGGCGGAACTACGTGGAAGCCTCCGTAGACCTACCCGTCCCATGTATATAAGGATAGTTAAATTCTTAATTTACGAGGATAAGTCAGATAATTACCATATAATTGCCATATAATTGGAGGTATGACAGATAATTGGAGGTATTTGTACACCATTGAGGACATATGAATAAAAATATTGATTTTAAATAAAAAAATACATAAAAAAGTACACATTGTCCCTTTAATAATGCAATTTAAAAATAAGAAATAACATTTATGGAACAGTTCAAGTTCATGTAGTAGGTCTTTTATGCACAAAATAGCTGTTTGGAGACAATATAACATCTCGGTTACATATGTAACCCTCGTTCCTTGAAGGAGGGAACGGAGGTGTATGTAAACGTATCAACGTATTGGGATTGCGTCAGAGAGCCCCAATCATCCTGAGTATGAACTGAACGAGCAAATGCACATTGGCTTGCGAAATTTGAATCTCGCACTCGAGCCCGCAGCACAGGTATAAATAGGAAGCGAATGCAAGCACCAGTTGTTTTCCACTGAGGAGCTGAGCAGGAGCCTGGCATCAGCGGTGGTCCAGCAATGGTGGCAACGTGACATACGTCTCCTTTTCTATCCTTCAGGGAAAGTGGGTTACATATGTAAACGAGACATTCCCTTTCAGTCGGTACTTTCTACGTACATAGACGTACTGACGTATTGAGATCTCGTAAAACGCCACCTATTGCTTCTAGCGCCCAGAATAGCGTCCCTTCTAGCACCCAGAATAAGCTTCTTGATCCCCTCACAACTTTGGACGGAAGATGGGACAAGACTTACGCCGAGGAAGTCTTACTGCTATTCTGCATGACCCATTCAGTTAGACTATTAGATATCAAAGAACTGCTACGCTAAGCTACATTCGACTGCTGGAGGATGTGGATGAACTCAACAGGGTTCACCTAGGGAACTCACCTGGGGCAGAAATGGTTCACATATCCTGTCCATAAGAGGGCAATGGTGCAGCAAGCCCACACTTTGAGTGCTTACCGGCTATGGGATGCAAGCATGGGAGGATATCGGCTCGACGCGAAGGCTATAAAACCAAAACGTATTAGAAGTCACCCAGCCCACAGCTCTACAAATATCTGTCAGCGAGGCGCCAAGGAAGAAGCAACACTCCTAGTGAAAGAGGGGTGTAACCCCGGCATCCTGGCCAAATTTGCCCAGTGGCCTCTGTTCTCCATGGCCTCCTAATCATCCCTATATACTCATTGTCTTCAAAACTCTGTCTCCTCTCCACCAATAAGCTCCACCAAGAAGCTCTCCACCACACCTGTTGTGGGCGTTCTAGCACAATATGGCTGCCGTCGCTTCATCCAGGTAGATTCTGCACATTTGTGGTGGTTGAGGATATGTAAAGCACTTTGAGTGACGAGAAAAGCGCTATATAAATGTAATGAATTATTATTATTACTATTATTAATGATGTAGTAAGCCAGATTCAGGCCATATCCAGATCAGATGGTATACCTCCACTTCAATATGACTACAATGCATCCCTGAATGTTAGCAGAGATTGTGTCAACAAGATTCTCCCCTGTGAAGGCCTCATCGACACGACAACCATCCCAAACAAACCCGTTGCAACACCGGCATGATGACCTTGATCTTCAACCAAATGGAACTGGATAAATATTCTGAATGTTCTGATCCAAGGTTTCTTCCAAGGTCTTTTTTCTCCATTCTGTCACCTGATTTTGGCTCCTTCCCACTGTCACCTTTGGCTTTTGGCTTGCTTAGTTGGGGACATTTAGGCCTCGTTTACACTGCATGGTTCAAGTGACTCAAATCCGATTTTTTCCTGTCATGTGGCATAGATTGGATATGACCAGTGAACGTGTAAGCAGGGAAAAAACGCATGGATTTCGATTTTGTCAGATCGGATTCAGGCCTCTTTCATATGTGGTAATAAATCGGATATGAATCGGATATGTGCATTTGTGTGTGCCATGTATTCCCCGGTAATGCGAGTCGTACGTCATTAAAAAGTGCGCGATTATAGGCGCGATGGAAGAAAGGATACACACAGTGGAGCAATGCGGAGGTTTCATGTCTTTTGAGTGTTTGGGGTGAAGAGTGCAGGCAAAAATGCAGGATTGTTACAGAAATAAATCCATTTTTGAAGACATTTCACAAGATTTCACAAGACATTTGAGGCTTCGTTTTAAGTGCTCGTGGCTAGAGCCTCTCCTCTTTCTTTTCTCCGCCGTACGAGACCAATTGTTTTGATGACTTATTGAAATATTGTGAAAAGAAAACACTGGATAATTTTATTCGCATCTGCATCCATTGATTTCGTGCTGTTTTGCTTAATTTCCCGGGTCAGAACGCCTGCACTTGGTAGTTTCAGCAGTGTATAGTGTAAATGCAAAAATCGGATATGGGTCACTTTTAAAAGATGATGTAAGCAGATCGTCAAAAAAATCGAATATAGTCAGAAAATCGGATTTGGGCATCAAGACCTGCAATGTAAATGCAGCCTTAAAGGCAGAGTAGGTAAGTTTGAGAAACTAGCAGAAAACTGCTGGATGAAAGTATCCAACAGAGAAACTCCCACCCCCTCCCTTCTGGGCTCCTTCCAAACCATGCCCCCAAAACACATAAAACGTGTGATACTGACTGCTCAGCTGGTTTACCAGCGCCGAGCGGAAAGGAACGTAGTGCATGGAGTGACATCACCTTTTTTTTTGGCTTGTTTGCCTGCGCTGACTATATATGCAGGTAAAGGTGGTACTGGGAATTTTGACTGCTCTTTGACTGCCATAATTGTGAGACTTCCTAGCTTCTGGCTGGTATGTGCCTCTCCTCTTTTAAAACGAGCGAGTCAACTGGGTGCGCGCATGTGGGCAGCTCCTGTAGCAGCAGGGATGGTCATGGTAGCTAGGGAGAGTGACAGTCGACCAGCCAATCATTGCATTTGTTCTGAATGGAAAGAATAGCTGTGTTTATTGTAGCCCTGAGAGGACTACAAACACTCGATTTTTATACTCGATTTTTTATACTGGTATATAAAGACAGTTTAAACAAAACGAAAGGCACTGGGACGGCACACTGAGAACCAGCATGGCCCGCCCCAAAATAGCTATAGCCTATATGCACGATCGCTTCCGGGTTTGTCTCAGCACGCCCAGTTACATCCAGTGCTGCGTCAGAAGCCGGTTTTGCATTAGGTGCAGATAGTGTCAAATTCCACTTGCTGTTTACAAAAACTTCCTGCGGTTAACGTGAATGATGTTAACAACATTGTGAGGCAGTTAGCTGTCACAGAAGAGTAAATAATTGAAGGGCTTTAAATTATATATTTCGAGCTACATCAACAAATTTGAGGGTGAGTATTCTCTCATATCATGCGAAATCTGACTAGCGAATCAGCTTTTCGAAAATCGTTGTCTCCGTTTCTGAAAAAACGGATTTTATTAAAGTTTTGCGGCTATATACTCTGCCTGCAAAAAGCGCTTGCGGAATTAAAGAAGCTGGCTGAGATTCTTTCGGACATATGTCAGCAGGGTTTGTGCATAGAGTGTATTGTCCAGCCTTGAGGGTTCGGGACATGAGCCCAACTCTCTCAGCGGCATGGGAAAGCATAGCGCCAATTCTGGATCAGGCTCAGGCAATGATGCTCTCCCAGAAGGAGCCAGCGAAGCCTAGTCTTCATATCCAGATACAAGTCCGCCCTCCGATGCTGCAATAGACATCTGGTTGGCAGAGGGAGCTCTGAATAAAACAACAGGCCAGTCATGAGAGGAGCCAGTGCGATCAACCGGAGACTCCACAGCTTGCGGTGTTTGAGAGGAGTGAGGGGTCCACAGGGATTGGCTACCGGGCGGGGAAGCCCTCTCTGTGATCCTCAAGTCACCCTGGCTATTCATCGAAGTAGCTCTCTTTTGGGGTTGGGCAAAAGAGGAACTAGATCAAAGCATAGTTAAAGGGACCCCACCTCGTTTGAGGTATAGGAGTCTGAATTCTCAAACTACTGAATGCCCAGACACGCAATGCAGTGTTTGTGACAGTCAGCTTGCGCCAGGGAAGGACCACATCCAGAAACACACGGTAATATGAGATCTTGAAAAAGACGCAGTCACACCTGTGTTTGTTTTTTCAGGAATTAGCTCTCTCAGAAGTATACAGGTAATAATGGCCACAGCGACACTGGCAGGGGATGGTGCTGCCTGCACAGTGAAGCACTCACTGAACTGACATTAAAAAAGCGACCTCTTAGAAGACGGTCTCGAACCAACCAATGCTGTGAAAACAGCAGTTGAGAGCTGTGAGCTCGCGACCACCGCTGCACATGCCGTAAGAACAACACTGCTGGAGAGGCTTCTTAACGAAGAACACTCGACACACTCGTTGGCTGTATTCACCACTCTCAGAGAATGCATTCAAAATGATTTGTTCGGCTCTGAAGCGAAAGACAACTGCTTGCATCTGCTTCCTATTTCGCTGTGGAGCAGAGCGCGAGATGCAAATCTGCCATGCCAATGGCTGATCTGCATTGGCTCATTCTGTTTACACTCAAAGATGATTGGGGCTCCCTGACGTGATCCCAATATGTTAGTATGTCTATGTACGCCAATTGTGACGGACTGAAAGGGAACAGGCTTTTCTTGAAATGAACTTTGGTATTGTTCATGATCGCAGTACAAACACCGTTCATTTGTCACTTGTCAAATAAGTGGCATTTAATGTGTTAAAGAGTTAACTCACCTGCTGGAATGTGGCTTCAATGAGATTGGAGGGGATCATATTCCTGAGGATACAAAATATGATGCCAATTCATTAATTCATTCACATTATGAATATTTAGTACATTAATCCCCTATGATATGTCATACACACTGCAGATTTAAGCACCAGCTAGTGTGGCAGCCAAAACTAACAGCAGCTTTGTCCATGGGCAGAAGGGAGTGGGGGATGGGAGGGTCCTCCTCCTCTTACTTTGTACAGATTACTAAAAATATCCTAATCACCCCACTGCTTTAATAGGATTGCACTGTATGGGATGGCTTAGACTCCCCATGGACAATTCTTTCCAATGAATCAAAATAACAGTGACGCATCAAAATGAGGAGCAATTTACCCCCAACGTTTATCATTTTTCAGTTAAAAAGCTAATATTAAAGGGATAGTTCACCCCAGAATTAAAATACTGTCATCATTCCATCTCATGCTATTCCAAACCTGTGTGACTATTTCCTTCTGTATAAAAACACCATAACAGTGGTATGTGTGATTTTTGTGTTATATAAATAGCACAGTGATTTTATTTGTATATTATAATATATTCTTCTGAAGCCATACAATAGACTTTGTGAAGAAAATACTGTCATAGTTGAATTTCAACACAACAAAACATTTAGACACAACACACAATTCATATGAAATCCTTTTATGGTGCCTTTGTGTAATTTTTTAAGTCTGGGTGTTCCGATTTCCATTGTTTGTAATTGCATGGAAAAACTTTCTCTTTCTGTGTCACATAGGAGAAAAAAATAACCAACACAAGTTTGAAACAATATTTTTGGGTAATATCCCTTTAAGGTATTTTCCATTCCTGACACAGAACACATTCGAACCCACCAAGAAGTCCAAACATTAACCATTAATTACCCCTAAAATCAGATGGAAATCGATTGAAAAGTTCATCCAAGCCTCTAACCCCATTTCTATTAGGACCACTAAAGTCAAATGCGATTGGCAAATAGCATACAGTTAGGATTGGCGGTATGGTTCTGTTCTGGGCATGCCGCCTAGCATGGAGAAGGCCCTATTGCCCTTAGGGTAAACAGAACCAAAATGAATGTATTGCAGATATCATTAAATTAATTAATTTTATTGTACAAGATAATTTGAGAATTTGAGTCTGATTCAGGGGTAATCAGAATGCCGAATCCTGACTGATGAGAGGAGGAGCTGGGGATGGAGGAGGGTAATAAGCTCCTGAGAAACGTGATAGTTGCTGTTAATACTGAAAGGAGGGCTTATATACAGTATGTCTACATTGATAGACATCGTATTCCTATAAGTAGACACGGATCTGCTGAGAGTCAGCTGATGCGAGCTTGTCTAACGTGACCTACCAGAGCTGACGCTTTGCTCAAAATCTAAGCCTATTCCTAAAATCTGCTTGGTCTGCAAAGTTGTTGTTTGTACCTGACAAAATGTGTCAAAGTCCATTCTGACTGTACCTGACCAGATCCAGCAGGGCATCTGCAGATGTTATGACCTGTCCACCTCCCAGTCTGTTGCTCTCCACATCTGTCCCATAGCCAGGTTTGATAATTAGAACAAGTACAATGCCAACCACTACAGCAATGAATGTGGTCCAAAGGTAGTAGGTGACCGTTAGCACCCCCATCCTGCAGCAGGCCTTTGACTCCATTGATGACAGTCCAGACATTAAACTACAGAGAGTAAGAGCTGATATGAGGAGATGTTCACACATTCTTAATGTGTGACATTAAGAATTTTGTCTAATAGTTTTAAAATGTAATATGCAGATGTGAATAAATCCAACTCCACCTGGAGGTGATTAGCGGGAGAATCAACATTTTAAGTATCCGCATGAGCAGCTCACCAGGAAAGGAGAAATAGATTTTAGCCTGATTACAAAAACAGAGAAAGAGTTGTTCAGATGATATTCAGACTTTTAATCAGTAATGTGTGGGTGTGTATATATATATATATATATATATATATATATATATATATATATACACACACATACACACACTGTATACAGTCAAACCAAAAAAAATATTCAGACACCAGATATAATGTTTTAGAATTTTTTTTTACTAGTAGGTGCAGGACACTATAGTTAATATATGTGATGATAGCAAAATAAAGTCAACTGTGACATATTATACTCAAAAACTTTTCATAATACAATGGACTACCATTCAAATTTATACAAATTTGGGACCAAAAATTATCATTCTGGCAATTTCCCCCCTCCGACAATCCTAGCTATGTCCCGATTATCTTGATGTTTTTTCAGATTATCTTATCAGATTCTCCCTTGGTGTGAGGTGTGTTAAAGGGATAGTTCACTTTGAAATTAATTTTTGATATGTTTTAGCTTACCTCAAGGGCATCCAAGATGTAGGTGTCTTTGTTTCCACAGTATTTTCAATTTTGACATTTTTCGGTCACACCATTGTTGTCTGTCAGTCATATACTGGAGTTTTAGGGGTCCACCTCAAAGAGCATTTCACAAAATATGTTTAGTGAAAGGTAAAAATTCCGAAATCTCTGTGTAAACAAAGCGTGACATAGAGATCACTTCCGGTGTAACGTCTGGAGACGTAACGTCTGGTTCATTTGGACATCTGATTCAGATCAGTGCACGTAGCTGTTAACAAGAGATAAAAACTATATAAATACTGTTCGTTTTCTCACACAAACCGCTCGTTTCATGTCTTAGGCCATCAGTGTGTACTTACATTCATGAGTCATTAAATCATGTTTAATTTTGACTTCCCTGTGCATGCTCTTTGAGGTGGACCCCCTAAAACTCCATTGTATGACGGACAGACAACAACGGTTTGACCGAAAAATGAAAAAAAAATTAAAAATACTGTGGAAACAAAGACACCTACATCTTGGATGGCACCTCCCTGCTCGGAAGAACATCGGAGCCGCCTCGATCGCAAATAGTAAACATTCAACATGTTGAATATTTACGATCAGAAATCCTGATGTGTGGGGGGAACCCTGAGGACAAACGTGCACGCTCTGGAAATTATCACGTGAAACAAAACAATATCCGATAACAATATCAGAAAGCGAGATGTTGAAATACGAAAGCATAAAAAAATGCAGTCATGGTACAGCACAGACTGAAGTTGATGTGGACAGCAGAGAAACCCTACACCTTGTCTTTTTTTTTTCTTGAATTTTCTATTAAGATCATTCCAAACCCTAACATTGTAATTTCTTCCAACATAAGTAGGGCTGTGTTGGTGAAGGAATTTTTCCATTGTTGTAATTTTGAGTGACTCAACAGCACGAAATGCTGTATTATCTTTATTTATTTATTGCTAAATAAATTAGTGTTATGCTTTGGTCAGCAGGCACGAAGACGAGTACATGTTCAGCAGTGTTGTGCAAGTTACTTCCAAACTGTAATACATTAGGTATTACTTGTTACTGTTATTTAAAAGTAATTCATTACCTTACAATATTACTGCCTCAGAATTGTAATGCGTTACATTACTCATGTATTACTTTTGAGTTACTTTTACCAAAATAACTACAGAAGTAGAACTTAACTTTGTGGCTGTAACTACATTCATGCGTGACAAAAAATAGGAGGCAAAATATAGTTTTTGTAATTCTGTTAATTACACTGCGCAAATCGGATGAGGAAGGGTTGGCTGTCCAGTCTCCATAGAACTTAAAATATTCATTTTATTTTAGTTTTCGTGTTCGCATTTATGAGGAAAAAACAAATTTACAGACGCGACCGCTCTGAACTGGCACTAAAAGACTGCTTTAAAACTTTCACATAGTCTGTTGCCTTTAAGAAGTAAAAGCAGACAATAGCCTATTAGATAAGGCGCGGGGTGTGCTGGTGGGCGTCTCATAAATAGCCAATAGGCTATACCGAAACTCAGCGTATAAGTATAGCCTACTCCACAGACCTGAAAAATATATCTATACTGAAATGTCTACTTGTAAACAGAACAATTCAAAATGAAAGAAAACAGACTGTTCTCTGCTTATGAAATGAAATGTGCATTTCGCTATACAGATATATCAGCCTTTATTTACAAACTTGGACACCACGCGTGGCTATTGACTGACCACGAACAGGTAACTTATTTTTTTTTACAATTAAAACTAAAAGTCAAGCCTCACTGTAATACAAATGTAATACAAGCCTCACTGAACATGTAACGAGTAAAATATTACTGAAAATTGATTAGTAATGCCTTACACTACTGCGTTACAGCAAAAAGTAATATGTTACTGTAATGTATTACTTTTGTAATGCGTTACTCCCAACACTGATGTTCAGTAATGAAACCGAAACTAAAAAGCGTATTGAAACGAAGTGGAGTGAATAGAAGATACAATGTCAAAATAAGGGTCCACATAATATAATAACAGAACACAAGCCTCACAATAAGGTTTTTAAGCCATTGTTATATAACAGTTAGTTTCGAATCTCACTTTACTAAAGGCTTTCTGCTGATATTTTACCACTCGGCATTGCTCGTCTCTGCGTGTTATTGAGAATGAGAATGTGACGTCACGCGTTTGCATTATGGGAATGCGTTGCCATCTTGGAAGGATACGCTATCCGTTTTCATGGTTACCTCGACCGTGAGGCCGAGAGAAATAGCAACACAGAAAGAGAGCAGCTTGATATTTGTTAGCATTTTTGCGATAAGGCACAGTTTCTTGGGAATAAATGAAGGGGGAAGCAAAAGGAAAGGGGCTCTATCGGGAGAGACTAAATAACACCACCAAGCAGAGTTATTTAGAGACACTACTTGACATCAACAACATGAACCCGTACGACCTGTTACAGAATGTACGAAAGACCCAAAGCACTACCACCTTTCATACACTCTGACATAGTTAATTACCTGGTTTATGGTATCAGTGCCTAACGTTACTGCCAACATAATGCAAAAGTTAAGAAGCTTTAAGTCATTAGAGGCTTATGAACAATTCTGCTGTGGCTGGGTGCAAGACTTAAAAACCCCCAAACCTGTAACGTTAAACTGGGAGAGTTCAGTC